GTAACCAAGATCAGATCAGATTGACTGACATAGTCTCTAAAATCTTTCGACAATAGACTACGGCTCGTGATGAGCAAGATCAGGAAAACAAGTCTCGTTTCAGATCTGTCGGTATACATACTGACCATATATTCAGTTCCCTCAGGTTTTAGAACACAGGTATACTAACCGATGCTCGACTAAAACTTTCCAATCTGTATTTTCAAACTATTTTTTTCGTTTTTAGTCTTCCTTTTTGTAACAGTCACCAAATTATTTCAGTCATTTTTTTCAAGTTTTCCAGTTATATTCACCCTATTGTCTGGCAAGGCAACCTGAGTCAAGGTTCATCTGTATCGGACTCTGTGTTTATAATGACTGATGACTTACTGATTTTCTAAATCATTTCATAATTAATTATTGAGAAAAACGAAAGTTCTTCTTGTTTGTACAGAAATAATTATAGCTGTTTCTTTATATTCATTTATCGCAGAAGCATCAAATTGGTTGTGAACAAAGATATGGTCAGTCACATAATTAGTGAGTCACCAAGTGACTGACTGTTTGAATTCATACTCAGGAGTCAGTAAGTAACTGAATAACTCAACTGGTTATTCAGTTATTAAGATAGTAAATGAATAAATAAAGGACTGAGTGGGGGTATAAATGATATACCTTTGTATCACAGTACTTGTTTATGTTTTTATTTGAAAAATACACAACTTTTAGTATGAATAATGTATCTTCTGATGTGGTTAATTGCAGAGAAATTTCAACTTTGATAAAATTTACTGATAACTTTATATCATCTACTGAATTTTTTTGTGAACAAGATTGAAAACATCCCATCTGCTCACTTAAAATCTCTTCTACCAACCATCCCAACAAATTAGACCTTTGCACTAAGGTCGGAACGTGCACCATTTTTGTATCTTCGGTGGCGTTAAAGGATAGCGTGTTTCTTTGTGGTTTATGGCGTTTACGTGTGCAAACGTTTTATTAATTACCCAAAGCTTATAATATTGGCAAATTATTTTTCGCAAATGACTTATTCGCTTCATGATTTCGATATTGTGGTCTGTTTGGATATTTCTGGCAATCAAATTTTTGAATAATTCATGATTTAATCGTTCTTGTTCAAAGTTATGTTCTAGGTTGCTGAAACTATTACTTAATTTGGGTGCTATTAATACTGAATTGGTTAGAAATAAAGAGACTAATGATTACAGCGAAACTATAGTTTTTGGACTAACCAATCAGATTTAGGATAACAGGTTTGGGATTTTGGCGCGAAATTCATTCGTCCATTTGGCTAAATAGAGTTTTGGGATTATAGCTGATGTCAGTTCGTTATGAAAACCCTAAATCTAGTTCCTAACCCTAACCATAAACTGTAAATCATAATTCTTATTCTTCACATAGGTTTATAACCCTTATTTAGAACTAGTAAGTAGGTGGTCGTTATCAGGGTCACTTTAACGTCACTCAAAGGTCGTCCATGAATTATGATATCACTGTGATTACTTTTTAATTGGGACTGGAAGAAATATGTGAACTGAAAAATATGACGAAACTATAACAATAGAGGATTATGGGAATATGTAAAATAAAGTTAATAAATGTAATCCACATATATAATTTGCTAGGCTGTAAATTGTTGAATCAAGTTAAGGACAGTTTGGAAGCTATATGAGATGCATGATGAAAATGCTCATTCAGTGTTTCTCGACTATCCCTCAGTAAATTTGATTAAAGAGAAAATTCAGAAGTTTTCCTGAAATAGAAGGGGTTGATTCTACTTACAGTATAAGCGAAAGTAAGCAAATGAAATAGTTTGGCTTATATAATTCATACTGTTACAAACTGTTTCAATAGGGTTTTACAAGTTATAATGGACGTTTAATAACGAAAACATGATAAGAAGTAATTTAATTTGGGCATTAGTTCAATTAAAACTGATAGTGACAGATACAAAAAGTGGGGTCATTTGTCAAGGATCGTTATAGAGCTGTAAAATCTGTTGTAGATTTGCTATATCAAAGAGTCAAGGTCATCTTGAATGCTTTCTATATGAATCGAGCAAAGTGCAAAAATGACTTGAAGTTCTCTGATAAAGTAATACATACATAGGTTGATTCTCCAAGAATTTATTTCCAGGTTCGGCCAGTAATATTGAATAACAAACATACTCAGGAGAATCGTTAATATTTATTTAAATCAATATAAAAATAAACAAGAAATACAGATGATCAACTTTATTTAATAGTTATATACTGATATTCGGAAATAATACGAAACACAATTGAAACCTGGTTTATATTGCTTTTACCCAATCAAAGTTACAGTTGTATATCACAAATGTGCTCAAAATGATCGATCTCAATGAAAAAAGTAAATGAGTTACGGAAGAACTACATTAGGCAATGATCTCTGAAATTATCATTTTAAGAAATGTAGTTGGGATGCAGGTGCATTCAGCTGATGAGTCCCAAATGGGATGAAACGCATGTCACAAATTCCACTCCGGGCCACTATCCATCTTTGCTTATAATGCTTGTGAATCAAGGCTATATTGATGCTATACTCACAGTATGTAAATATGCCCGAAAAAGGATGGGCGACGGGGTAAAAAATGGCTTTAACTTCCGGTCAATTTTAGTTGCTAATCCAGAGACAAGAGCAGCGTTTTAAAAAGAGTCAGTTGGATTTCATTGACAAGTTACACGAGAAGCTGCTGAATCACTCATGCTTTGGGGGTGCAACGGAAGTTGACGCATTGATTTCTAAATTGCCCACAGAACTGGAAGTCGATTGCAGAACGAATGAATATGCCGGGGAAAGCCTCAATGAATCCGTGAAAAACAATAATTTAAGCGCAGCAGTTATACATGATCAGCCCAGTAGCCCAGTACTACCTGTTTCAGAAACATGCCCTATAAATGGTCCAAATCCTGTTATCCCCGAAAAAGGACGTGCAAACAGTGAATTATCCTGTTCACAGAAAGACAATGTCTTGCTAAATGCTCATAAAATTGCTGCAGTACCCGCCCATGAAGAAACGGGAAACAAATCGAGCAGTATAGTGGATACAGTGGCGCCAAATGAAACTAATAATAATGCGAAAAATGTTTCTAATGAATCTAATGATCAAGATTCTCTAATTGTTCTGCCAGATTTAGATTATTTTGATGATTCATATGTTCCTGTTGAAATCTCTTATAAAAATGAGAGAAAAATGTCAGATGCATTAAATGATAATCAAGAATCCAATACGATTTTCACAGATACTGATTATGATTCATTATCTGCTAATGAGGTACCGAAAAAATTCAAGGAAACTGTTTCAGAAGAATCAAACGCTGGTGACTTAAAATCAATTGTCGTCGAACCTTATGATCTAGTCAGTTATAAAGGATTCTCTGTTAAATATGACAAACATGTTCTATATAATGTCACATTAATAGTGACTTGGCTATATGAGGATCGAGCAGTCTTTTGTGGGGGAGGAGGAATTCGAGAAATTTAAAATCCGGATATCAACTCTGGATTTCTAAAAAAGGGGAGGTGTTATATCCCCTGGTGAATTATGAATGGTAAATCTGAGGTCTGTTTAAGGACAAATGTAATATGCCTATTTCCTATTGTATAATTGTTACGTAACTAAACCATTCATATTGGTGTTCCTCTTATCATAACCTTTATTTTGACCTTTGAACTATTATTATTGATTACTTTCCACCTATCCACAGCCACATTGGCCAATTATTGCACAAATGTTATTTTTCTATCTTTTGGAATGATGTAGTCTGTTTGGTTAGTATATAAACCCAGTATGCTTGCGAATAATGATTCATATTGCCGAGGCTGTTATTTGTGTTCTGGACTAAACTGGCTGGGCTAGATAGAAAGCAGAGCCGATACGCACTCAAGACTGCTCGTACGATTTTTTGTATCATTGGCGTTCATATATCGAAGAGGACACGCAGGCAATCGATATAACAACTGGCATTCGTACGCTATAACAGACTGATCAGTTTCAGTCCTGAATAACAATGGGAAGATACAAGTAAAACAACACCAAGCGAATGTAGTTGAGTTTATAGTTTATTTTCGTAGAAAATGTACTTAATAAATCAGATAACACTATGCAATTTTCATTTTATCACAAGCTTAGTTTTTCCTATATATATTTTTATTATCTATATGTTTATTTGAACACATAAATATTGGTACAAAGAGGCACCAGTTATATATATGCCACACACTCAATACGCCTCGCCCCCATATGTCCTGGTAAGGTCAAGATTGGGGAGGAGCCACCCTGTCTCTGAAAATGCTCTCACATGGCCACGCGTATATAGCCTCTAACAGGGTAGTCCTACTCACTGCCTTCTCGTGGCAGGGGTGTTGTTTACGAAATTGAGAGGACGAAAAGCGAATGTCCAGCGCTTTAACTAGTTTGGTAGGTACGGAGGATTTACACAGCGGAGTTGGAAAACTCTGATTTCAAACTAACGATCCACATGAGCTCCAGCATCATCAGAGAACAAATGGCGTATGAACCAAATACTAGTCACCGGCTACCATGGTATCTCATCTGCTTACGATGCTCCAGTGCAGTGTGGGTAAGACCTTTAAGTCAAAGGCTTTGGGTGTGACCATCTAAGAAAACCACCTACAGAAAAAAATTGACAAAATTTTCTTTTTGTATAATAATGATCTAAAGTATTTTTTTATTTGTTTTAAATATACTACGCAAATAATAAAATCTCTGAAGAAAAAAAACTAGAAAAAAAACAATATTTATGGAACCAATCAAAATTTAATTTAAAAAAAAACAAAAATCTATTTCGATAATCTGATTGGTCTAAAATATAAATTAACCGCAACTTAAAAAAAAACAAACAAAAAAATCCACATATACACACATAATTATCATTGGGTTCTTTTGTTTGTTTGTTTTGTTTAATGTGAATTATTGTTTATATAAACGAATAATTGAAATCATTCAAAACTATTCACATCCATCTATATCCACATGTGTAAATAGAGTTACATTTATTTATGAAATAATTCGACACTTTCTTATTTTATTTTAAAAAAGAAAAAATCAATGAAATCTGTACACTTAAACAATAATAATAATCATAATATTTTATCAGCTGATATAGATGAAGACAATCAGGTAAATTATTTTATATTATTAAATTTATTTTATAATTATCAGAATGGGGTTTTGTGGAGATTATTTTGAATTGGTTGAAGTTAGATATTAACACGGTTGGATGTCGGCCGGCTCAGTGATCAACTGGTTAAGAGCTCGCGAGCGAGACTGGTAAGTCTGTGATTCAATCTCGCGAGACAGGATCGTCGATGCGCACTGCTGAGGAATCCCACAGTGCTTCCAGGTTTTTTCATGCTGGTCTAGCTTCAATTGACTCATGATTTCAACTATGTAAAAAAACTATTTTATATTTGTTTATGAAAATATTATTTTCATCGTTTAAAAATCCCCATCACATCTAAGAAAAGATTAATATTTGAATGAAGAATATTCTTTTCGATTAATTTACTGCAGTTACTAGTTATAGATTCAAATTCATAATTCGAAGAAATTGGTCAGGTTAAAGGAAAACTACATCGTCTACACTATGCAAATTCAGGATTGTCAAACCAAATAGAATAAGATTGTATAATGTTGGTATAACTCATATAAAAGGGTTACTGTGAAAATTTAAGATCCATGATCAGAATATATATGGGTCAGATAGGGTGAAAGAGATACGATAGTGCAATTACAATTCTATAAAATGCTTAATGGAAGACTATATTGTGACAAAAATCAGTAAGACGTAATAAGGAGGGATCAATGCGAAGTGAATGAATCATGTATAAGGGAGATTAATGATGATGTTAAACCAATAATAATAATTATCCGAAGGGGTTTTGTGGAGATTTAGTATTTTTCATAGTTGAAAGCGTGAGTCAATTGAAGCTAGACCACCATGGGAAACCTCGGAGCACTGGACGGCCGTATCGTCCTATTGTGGGACTCCTCAGCAGTGCACATCCTTGTACCTGCTCTAGCGAGTTTCGAACACAGGACCTACCAGTCTCGCGCCAGAGCACTTAACCAGTAGACCATTGAGCTGGCCAGCATCCAACGGTGTTAATGTCTAACTTCAACCAATCCACGAAATTGAGAAACCATTCACCATTGTCTTCAGTAAGTTACTATCTCATAACAGACCCGGCTGAACTCCACTGGTCGCTGCTTCTCACTAGAACTCCAGGAAATACCTCTTGGAGAACGTCATTAGTGAGTATATGATGGTTATAATCAGAGAGAGATTTTGTGGGTATCACAGTAATTTATTAGTTAAATTACTTTTTTAGTTCACATGAAATTATTACCGATAATAATTAATGCTGTAATCTATCTTATATTGTTTAATTAAGTCTATTTTCCAAGTGTATACGGTAATCGTACCTAGTAAGTTAGCTGAGATCCTTTGGACTCACCATAGAACAAACTGACGGTTAACTTCTGTTATTATCATCTGAATTCTTTGTCTTTACCTAAACTACAGTAATAGTAATAATAAAAATTCCAGTAACTTCTTTTCTGTATTTTATGGTGTGATCACAAGTGATAGGTAAAGGTCATAATTATCTAAGTGTATTCATACACGTATACATATTTATTATTGAAATGACCAAGTTGTCATGATTATTCTGTCTATCTTTTGTTTTGTAGAATAATTTCATTTCACTTCACCATGTTTCATTTGATTATCTTCATTTGTTATAATTTATATTGAAGTTATCATATCATGGTCATTATTATTATGATTATTGATAAAAATAATATCTGACTTCATCATCATCATCATCATCATCATTAAAGAGGTCAGTATCGAGGTAACATGCTGGTGTGATTTAGTCATATCAACATATAATGTACAGGTTATCATTCTTCTATGATAAAAATATACTTTTTTGATTAAAAAAAATACCTCAGTGTACAGAAACACAATTAATTAGTAGACAGTACAAGAAATAATTTGACAGAACTATTCAAATGTGTACAATTTAATGAATAAAGAACAGTGCTGCTTAATTGAAAAAGAAACCATTCATTTATTGATGTTTAAAACTGTCAATGAATCCAGAAATTTAAGTCTCTTTTTAAAAAAGGTGATAGTAACAACTACTGTAATGTTCTTCCTTTAATGAATCAACTTCTTCAACAAATACCAGTTCCTAGAGATTAGAAAAAAATAATGACACAGGATTGCAATTAGTTTCGTTTGTTTTGCGTTTAAATATCTACGACCCTTGGTTGATTAATTTCACTTGCTCATTCAAATATTTTTTTATGCACTTACCGAACTATTTGAAATTATCTCTATTTGATTATTTCTCTGAAGAAGCTTCAATCAGTTTGTCGAGCAAAATACTGGGAATATTTAAATTACAATCGTCCAGATTATTTTAAATACAATCTTAAGTACAGCCTAGTCGAATAAACTTCAATCATATATATATATATATATATATATATATATATATATATAACTGCTGAACGTTTTAATTAGTAAAATCGGCATTGTTTACTCCTTGAAGTGAGATACATCAGAAAAGAGCTTGGAATTAGAGATACTAAAGTGTTGTCTACTGACAAATACTAAAATGAGTAATGAATACATAAATTTAACTACATAGACTGTTAGTATCCACAGATTCGATCTTGGAGATTTTTATACTGATTAGTTTATTTAACTGCTGTGTGTATTTACAATTGACTGATAACTGAGTAGTGACCAATGCCATATTTTTCAAGCCCTTCTTAGTGCTGATAGGATTCTGTCAATCTTGTTTTAGTGTGGTCACTAGTCTGAGTGATTCGACATCGCGCGCACTATGTTACCATGTGAGGTGGTGGTTGGAGGAAGTTGATAAGAAACTGTAGGCCTAGGTCTCGTACTGTTTAGCACTCGTCAACAAGTTGTACCTATAAACTTGAAGGAATTGATGCTTTGTGTGACATTTACGGTCCTACTGGTTATGCTCGAAAATATAAACCATTGTAATACCCAAAAACATAGAATTAAAACTCAAAGACTGTTACAAATAAAGATTAACTGATTCTTCAAAAACATCCTAACAAAAAGTTGTCCAAAATCGTGTTATCATCCAACCAAATACATTCATTTATATAGAGATTTTAGACACACGTGATGATCAGTTAATGAATATTATATAAATGATAAGACAAGCGAAGTTAATGTAAAATGCATCTGAAGTTCACACAGAATAATACAAAATTTATAAATAAACACGGATTGTGGCTGGTAGTGGAATCCAGGACGGGCGTCTCGTCCTATTCGGTACTCGTCAGCTGGATGTATCTACATCTCAGAGTTATTGTTGACTCAGAGATTTTAACCCAGTACCGTTCGATTCAATTGTCATCTCGTTATCCACTTAGCTACTGAGTCCTGATAGCTATCTGGGGTAAAGTTTAATTCACTTAGTATTGTTTGCTTGTATCTACCTATTTCACTGCTTATTAAACCTGTGACTTAAGGCAATATCAAGGCAATCTGCACAGGATACACATATGCTAATAAAAGACTGATCAATTGCAGTCCTGAACAACAATGGGAAGACACAAGCAAACAATACGAAGTGAATTGAAATGTATGATTGTTACACTATATGAAAGTTTAGGTCTATCACACTGAACATGATTCACATAAATAACACGAAACTTTCTAACCGGAATTTGTAATAAACTGGAAAAAATAACCCCAAAATCTTAGTGACAAAACCGATTTCAACTATCATACCGTAAGTAAACTGATATTTAAACTGAATAAAATGTTACGTTAAGAATAATAAACCATGTAAAATTTGAGACCATTGGAATAAAAAATAATTTCATGGAATATTACAATGAGTTAAAGAACATCCTTGAATTTGTCGTCTTTTTCCGACTTCTCATTCTGGATCCACCCTAATGTTAAACAATCTCCACAAAACCCTTCTGATAATAATAATAATCATATGCTTACTAGTGACTGACTTCGAGAATTAAAATGCAGGAGTTCTAGTGAGAATTGGTTAAAGTTAGACATTAACACCGTTGGATGCCGGTCGGCTCAGTGGTCTATCGGTTAAGTGCTCTGGCGTGGGACTGGTAGGTCCTGGGTTCCAATCTCGCGAGTGCAGGATCGTGGATGCACACTGCTGAGGAGTCCCACAGTAAGACTGTACGGCCGTCCCGTGCTCCGAGGTTTCCCATGGTGGTCTAGCTTCAATTGACTCACGCTTTCAACTATGAAAATCCATGTAAGTAAGCAATCACTGAGCTATCTATTACCAGATGTGATATTAATGTTCATATTGTCAAGTAATTAAATCTAACAAAGAACCGATGAGCAGAGAACAATAATGTCCTGTCAATCTTCTACAATTTTTTTTGTTTTTGATTTTATTCTTTAAATCTCATCCGTTTAACATTCACATAGTTATACAAAAAAAGTAAAGAATATTAAATACTACTATATCAAATTATCAGTATTCAATGAATGACCTTAATATAGTCTAGACTGAAATGATTATTCCGGAAAATTCTCAAGTCATAATCGTATGATCAGTGAACGGGATTTTTTCTTTTATCTTCAAAAGTATGGCGGTTATTTTCATTTTTAATGTTTGAAATGTATCATCAGTTTCTTTCACAATAAACCGAAAAATTATTTTTTGGTTATTAACTTGGTTAGTAATTAAATCTATAGTGAAATATTCAAATATAATAAGCTGTGCTGACTAAATGTAACAATGTACAAGGTTGAATATTTTGTGTTTAAAAGAAAAAGGTACATTCAATTGAATGATTACCGTAAGTGTACACTGATGGTAGTTAATTAAGTAGCTTAATAAGATACAGAGATTTGTAAGCCTTTTTTTCCGAAAAACAAAATAATAGAAACTCATGACTGTCATATTAAAATGATAACCAAATCAAGGAAAACATAAATCTATCAACAGTTTTCCGTTCAATGAACAATTTCATAATATTCGATTGGTATCTATTTCAAAATGGGTATTCAATGTTGAGAAGATGATGTAAGAAAAGATATTCTTTAAAACTGCAACATTCTTCTCTTGTACTTATACTAAGATTCGAGTAAACATTATTATCATATATAAGAAATAAGGAAAAAATTAGGTTCGATACTACTTTATACCATTAGACTAACCAAAACAACTAGTAGTTTGTAACAATTTCTGGTCGTCATGATGATAGTCACTGTTGGTAAGTTAAAACAGGCATTTGGAAAAAAACATTATTATAACATTATTGAAGACGTATTGATTGTATTGAGCTCTTTATACGAGTCTAGGTTACCTAAATGATTTAAACACTTGATGGTTATCGTTCTTGTAATAGGTTAGAATATTAACTCATCATTCAAGTTAATAAACACCCGTAATATCGTTAAGACTCATACAACAAACGGGACTGGAGTTAGTATATAGTATTCAGTTATTATTATTATTACAAATTAAATTCTCTGTTCTTTATTTTCTATTTTTATTTTAGTTACCAAAAAGTTCATTAGATTTACTTCATCAAACATGTGAACGACTACTCAATGAATGCGCTAATCGAAATAGAAAGCCACTGAAATTTCGTTATATTGAGATTACTTCTATGGATCATAATTGTAATTACAATCAGAAAAATAGAATGAATAGCAGTGTCAATGATCTAGATAAAACCAATACGTTTACTGTTGATATTCAAAATAATACATCTGAATGTTCTAACGAAATTCTTGATTATTCTATGAAACAGATGAAATATCATTATTATGCTTCAAATACAACAAGTCCTTTATATTCAACAGCATCGTCTAATTTACATAATTCTTCTCCGACATTCCCTTTTTCATGCTTCACTTCATCCGCTTTTAAATTTTCAAATCTTCCCTTCAATTCTTTAAATGATATTTTAATTTTACTACAACAAGGACTAATCGATCCTGAAGTATTATTATCAAATGTTAACATCTTACAGCAACAATCAACCTCTTCATATTTCAATCCAACTAAACAAACATTAAAACAAGATAACCCTGAAAATGAAAATTACTTTGAAAATTTAAAATTAATTTCCTATTTCTTAAGCTATTTGTCATTGTTGAAATGCCTTCATAGTTCAAATACAACAGACTGTTCAAACATTTTGAATGGTAGTATAAGTGGGACATCAGGTGAAGATAGCAATATATGACTATGTATAGGACCATTTTTATGTTTGTTTTGTATCCTTTTTATAATATAAAACGTTTTCTATTAACCAATATTGTATTGTTTCTTATTATTTTTATAAACAATTTTATTTGTGTTTTATTTTTATAAATTATTCATATACTACTTATTTAGATACTTTATTTTCTGATTGTGTTTAATTAAAATTATTGGGCAGCAAGATGGATAATATCGAGCAATTTAAATAAAATCAGATTATAGAATCTTTTTGCCTTCCATTAGATTTTTTGGGATTTGATAAGTCTCGTCGATTGTACGCTATATTCATTCCTAAGCTATTCTGGTAACCCACAGGCTAGAACTGCTAAGCGACTTGAACACCAGAGAGAAGACGCAAGTATAAGAGAAAACACTTTGCTCCAAAGTTGTAGCCAAGGTTGTTGCTCAAGGTCGTCGCTAGTTTGTTATGACCTTACAAACTAAACAAAGACGTAACTCGCGTGAATTATTCACCAATAGAACACGACTTCTCCGACCTTAACACGGTGACAACCAAGGACGTCCAGTCAGTATGAGTAATTTCGCGTCCTTATTGGTCCTTAATCCGCCTAGCCCGTCCACTTGAGTCCAGAACACCAACAGCAGTTTCAGCTATGCGAATCTGTGCGAATCGTTTATTTCAAGCATACTTTGTTTATATATCAGACAGACAGACCACATCACACCACAAAATAGAATATAATATTTGTACAAAACCAAGCCAAATGTAGCTGTAAGCGTGGGAGACAATAATCAATAAACTGAGTATAGTTTAGGAACAGTAAATCACATAATAATAATCAATAGGTCAAAATGAAGCTTGTAATAAGATAAATATAGATATAGATAATCTAGTTACTAAATAGTCATACAATAGGAATATATATATGTTAAGTCGGCTTACAGTAAACTCTATCAGAGGCTCATAAAGAGCCCCAACCAATCAGCGATTAATTAGAAGCTATGTTACTAAAATAACGAGATCCTGATTGGCTGTTTAGCACACTGCTACTATGGAAACTCAAGGTCTCTTAATTACTATAAAACCCCTGTATTTTTTGTACATAAATGAATCCTGTAGTAAAGCGCTTCCCTCATACTTTGTGCCTTTTCTCTGGTCTTTAAGTTGCTGTATAGTTCTAGCTCGGGGATACGGAACTAGCTTAGGGAAGCAAATGTAGCGTTCACAATCGGCCAGACGTAACAATATAGGATAATCGTCCATTGATAGGTCCTGGAAGTTACCCGTACTTATGTCTTCGCTAGTATATAACAAGATTATTATACAATATGATCAAGTTAGTTAGAAAATAAAAAATGACTCTTCATTTTACGTGAAATCAAAATGGAATATTAAATAGGAATAATATATTTGTAAGATCTCAGCGAATGAATTTGAAGTAAATCCAACGTTTCACCTGGCAATCTGGTCCAAGGTTTTTCAAGGAATTGGACCAGATTGCCAGGCTAAACGTCGGATTTACTACAAATTCGTTCGCTGAGATTTTACAAATACATATTCTTATTCCTATTTAATGTATTACATCAACTCCGCACCCAAATACTGTGAAACTATTCGCTCTGATTTAGTCGAAAGTTCTTATATATTAGTCTGCATACTAAATGGAATATGTTTACTTTTTTTAAAAAAAAAGAGATTTGTAATACCATATCAACCAATAAGTTTTTTAATTCACTATTCTTTATTCATAATAAATTATCATCTTAATAGCAACGTATTAAGAATTAGACGGAATAGTGCAGTAGTGAACAAGAAGACGACTGGGGACAATCGAATGTATTTAAGCACAAATTACAGATCATTTCACAAAAATCTGATAATCATACAGTAAACAGTTAATTTGTAAAATAGCAATCAATTGTTTCAATCTTGATTCTTCCTTCTGCAAATATCAGTCTATTGTCTCTGATTTCATTGTTCAGGCATTTTCATACCGATTGCGCTTCGTTCCTGTTCTTTCCTTATCGATCTCCTGCCAAAATACATTCTATGCCTGACCATCATTATATACTACTTATGTCGATATAACTAACCCACACCACAGTGTCATGATGATACTAAAAATAGATCATAGTCTCTACAAATGATTTCCTCATATTATTGTTGCAAAACCTTGTCTCGTTGATTTGTTAACAAAGATCTTGCAAACCATTAGAAAATGTCTATGAGGTTATTTATGATCATAAAAAAGAATTCAGAAAATAACGTACCGTTTGAACTGTCTTCTCGATTGGCCTCGAAGTGTCCTTCCAGTGCTGTATTTCCGACTCGCTAAAATTCACTACTCCGTCAGACAACTGTTGCAATTTTAACCCCGCGTTCCACTACACAATACTTTCAATCATCCTTGGGAGTAGCGCGCACTACAAGTTATGTGAGTTTGGATATCCCAAACACTTACTGCTTCTTTATTAATAAAAAATATCAACGGTGAATGTTAGAGTAGATTTGGAACTCAAGAGAACAGTTTTGGTTCAGTTTTACTTAGATGAGTGTTTTAGTCATAACGCTTTTATTTCATTGCCCAACTCAGAGAACACATCATTATCTAAACCTCCTTGATGATGGATATTAATCAACATTGTTTCTTATCATGACATAACTATTATCAAATATTAATGGTAAGCAATTAATTCATTACTGAATCAAATCGCTTCAAGATACTCCTTATTAAACAAGTCATTATTAAATCATTTTGATATTTTTGTAAATTCGTTTTGTTTGAAGACTGCTTCAGGAAAGAACTGTCATTTTCAAACTCACAGAGTAATCAAGCAAATGAATTCGATTTCCTGGAATACATTCATGATAGTTTACACTAAATTCAAAACTATTAACTATTTAAATCTGTTTTTCTTCATAACTTTTGACTGATTTGTTGATACACAAACATCAATTGTATTGATAATTAAAATCATTTCCTTCCCTCTATAAACGTTCTAAGATAAATAATGAACTTATTAGAAGATAAACTACATTATATTGCGATTGGTTTCCTTCATAAATTCATGCAAAGTATAAAGGAAAATGTATGGAGAATATACAATGCAATCATTTCGTTTTGTTGTTTCCAAATCAGTTGCATACAAATCAATCATTTGAGTTCGTTCTAATCACTAACTTACTTGTAGATAGGGAAAAACGAATTACTTGTCAAACGCCGGTGACTTATATAAAAAAATTGTAATAAAGTCCAAATTAAAAGTTCACTGAACTTTTCACTAGGTATTAGAGTGATAAATTCACTTGGTATTGTTTTACTTGTATCTTCCTATTGATGTCTAGGGCTACAATTGATCAGTCTCTTATTGACATATATGCATACTGTACGTATTGCATCGATATTGCGTTAATTTGCTACCATTATAAGAAAACACGGATAGTGGCAAGCATTGGAAACCAGGACGCACGTTTCGTCCCATATGGGACTCGTCAGCTGAATGTGCCTGCAACTCAGTGTTGGTATTCACTCGTTAAATGGGTAACGCGATGATGTTTGAATCGAACGGTACTGAGTTGGAGTCCCACAGTGAAAATCAACTCTAAGATGCAGGTACATCATGATGACGAGTCCCAAATAGGATGAAACGCGCGTCCTGGTTTCCACTGCTAGCCACTATCCATCTCTGCTTATATAACAATGATAGTTATTAAATAATTTTTATTTGTCAGAGGGGGTTTTGTGGAGATTTAGTATTTTTCATAGTTTTAAAGCATGAGTCAATTGAAGCTAGACCACCATGGAAAACCTGGAAACACTGGACGGCCGTTTCGTCCTATTATTAACTATTAACGTAGGCTGAGGAGTCCCATAATAGGACGAAACGGCCGTCCAGTGTTTCCAGGTTTTCCATGGTGGTCTAGCTTCAATTGACTCATGCTTTAAAACTATGAATTTTTATTTGATTGAACAAGAAAGAAAAAAACAGTTTTGGTTGAATTAACTGAATCGTAATAATCATTTATTGGAAAATTGAAAACGTCTACACATTTTACACTTCTGTTATCATGGTAGTTTCATGTTAACTATGGACCATTTAAAAATATGTGGGTCAGGTCTTAGCTTCCTGATTAGTTAGTTTTATTGAAACTCAATAAACCAGAAGTACACTAATTATTGATTATGTTAATCAGATTGACTGCATACATGTTGTCCAACAGATAGCATATAACTGAACTAAGAAAAGCATTTTGCATTTGAGGTGAAAGCAACTGAATTCAACTAGATAATCATATTATACAAATTGTACTAGTTGATACATTTTTAAATAAGTGATCTTATTAACTTCGTAACTCGTTAGTTATTTGTGTTGGATAACTAGTTATTATCTAACTGGTAATTATACATTGAATTAATTCATTTTGACTGCTCTCATTACTTTTTTTTAAACTTTCATATTTAAATATTGAGGATAACAATCCTTTTCAATCAAATAATTTACCGGCTATTGAATTTAATTTCTCAAATAAACGATAGGTCACACATCCGTACCAGATCACGAGTGGACACACCGTGCTTCTTGTCCCTTGCATCTGCTAACCATCTTATATAAAAGGCTTCTCGACATATCGATAGTTTTAAAAATATATCTTCAAACTCCTTCATTTTTAACTTCTGAATAGTCTGGATTGATGTACTTCGATTATAAAGATGTGACTTGTCAAACTCCGAATACCTGTAGCATCTTTAGATTGATCCTAAACATGTTGAGTTCGAACAATTATAAGATTCACTAAGTTAGACAGAAAAAATAAACCATAATCCTTGCAATTCCTTTGTCACAACTGACTCAGTTCGTTTTTCTGAATTCATACATTTTTGTAAGGATGGCTTGTTGGTAAACTCAAGGAAGCCTCAAGAAGAGCAGAAAGAACCGAAGACATTGCATTCAATCACCACTAGGGGAACATTCTAGAATGTCGACGTGTAGCTTCCCTATTGGATGAATAAGAGGGACTCCCTATTTGCCTATTGGCTGTCCGAAATGATGATTTACTTTCACCCAAGAAACTATAAATACATGAGATTTTTTGTAATATATTTGACACTGTTCGGGGAATAAAGTTCCTACTTACTGGTCTTCTGTCTTCTCTCTTGCAACGTTGCTGTATATATAACAATTTCCAAGAAACCTGATACTGTATTTTGTCATAAAACAATGTCAACTAATAGCTT